CCGGTCAACTGACGGGCTAGGCAGAGTACAGGAAACAGTGTGGAGATACAAAAGATGTTCTCGCTGCAGCTATGAGGATGTGGCGCGTAAGTAGTGCCCCCTGTTGGTGGGAATGTCTACAGGTACCGTCTGCTCAAGGGCAGAGGGGATTATGGCGGTAAAGAAGCAAATGCTGCTACAAAACATTTTCCCATATTCTGTACAGCGTACGACCAGAGGATTTTTTTGAGTCTTGTGCGCTTCCAACGTAATGAAATCAGCAAAAAAAAAAGGCTAAACGTAAGGTCTTCTTTGTATGGTTCTTTTAGAAGAATTTGCTTTTACACCCCCCCCCCCCTAGCAAAAAGACAACAACAACCAAGCTCTCCTAATACTTGCAATCGATGAACAGGGTATAAAGAGTAATTGTATGACTGTTTCCTGTTGAGGGTGGGAAGGCTGTTTCTAGAAGTATAGTCCTTTTGTTAATTGTGAATGCGTTTCTGAAAGTCATGTCTCCCGTCTTTTCTGGGTGTAGTTGCTTGTTTATCCTTCCTGGTTTTGGTGCCTTTATATCAATTTGTGTTGGTTTGTTGTTTTCTGGTTAATGGAAAATGTGTGAAGTGTTTGGAAAGTATTTCCAGTGGTTCTGAGAAACTAACTTGGTCCTAACGCACGCGGAAGAAACAAATCTCACTGGAAGTGGAAGCCGAACAGTACTGAAAAACCTCTTCACAACATAACAAAAACAATAATTTTCCACTACTTAAGTTATATGGTTGGGATGTGTTCTTTTGAAGTGAAGCCAATGTTTCTTCTTTCTCATGTATTTCGGACTAAAGATGGACTGAACAATCCAAAACTGAGCATGAGTAGTTACTTATTAGTTTGAATCACTTTGCTTGAAAATACAAAAAGAGATAATTATATCCTTGGATATGCTGCTTTCTTATTCTTTTAAGTTAAACAAGGAGTGTTTACAATTCAGTATAAAAAAGCAGTTAAACGTCGTTGTGTATGTGCCTCAAAATGTTCAGTTCACGACCATTCACTTGGAAAGGTATCCATAATCTCTCTCTCTCCCTCTCTCTCTCTCTCTCTCTCTCTCTCTCTCTCTCTCTCTCTCTCTCTCTCTCTCTCTCTCTCTCTTTCTCTCTCTCTCTCTCTCTCTGTTTATATATATATATATATATATATATATATATATATATATATATATATATATATATATATATATATATAATCTTTCCCTCACTTGTTTTTCTTTCTCCCCAACAGGTATCCCAGAAATAACGACCTGCCTGTTCATTGAATAGTTCACACGTGTCGTCAAAATAAGTTTTCGGTTACTTGCTAGCATGCTACACTCTGTGTGGTAACTTAGAGTATTGTTAGGTTTGTAAAAAGCAATTAAAAACTTTGAAAACCCAAAGGATCTCCCTTTTCTTATGAAAACATTTCAGTGTCATTCAGCTGTGTGTTCTTTTAAAAATAACGTTATTTTTATTATTCGTAATCTTCCAAAAGAGGGCAACTGTCAAATTTATCCGAGGTCAAACGTGATATTATACTGACATATATTGTCCTTGAATGTATCCTGGCCACAACAGATATGTTTTTGTGTCTTTCCTATCCCAGGACATCCGGGTCCCATTTCAAGAGCGCTCTGTTATGGTAGAATTCAAAGAATCGTTGTTTTCTTTTTCTGTCAGTGAGATCTCAGAGCATCCATAGATTATATCTGTCTTGACCTTTGTTGACCCGAACTGCCCATTAAACGTCAGCAGTACCAACTGAACCTTCTCCAAATCATCCTACATTCAACTTGTTCCTATTCAGCAATTACCAAATCTGACGACCATTTCGTACGGTACAAGCCCAAATGGTTATGAAAATACCAGCGGGATGCTAGTCGCTTCTGGCACGTCTTTTACTGTCACCGTATTCTATCTTCAAGGCATACCAACAAGTTCCATTAGTTACTAACAAAATCTCATTTTGACCTTACCAAAATCACTGGTGCAGAACTGTTTCGCTCTGTCCGTCGCTCGGGGACAAGGGAAGCATTCATCTGTGGATGAAAAGGCGAGGAGAACTGAGTGGCGGACGGATGGAAAGGTATACATTTTTCGTTTCATGCTGTCTTCTTCCCACAGAAACCTCAGGGCGGTGGAAAGAGATAACAGAGACACAACTCAGATTCATCTGTACTCTGGACAACGTTCTCTGAAGTGTTTATTTTGTTTAAAAGCAAACAGGGTTCTTTATTCTAAATCCACTGTTGCAAAATGCCTACTAAATTCACAGTTAGTTGCCAAGACAAAGAGTTCATGGTATCTTTTTGTCTCTCGTGATACACTTACATCAGATACAAAATGTCCTATTTTCCTATTGTTGATGCCACTAATGTTGTTATGGTTATCATTTTTCTTTTTTACCTTCTTCGTTTTCCTTTTTCTAGTTCTTTTAAAACAATAAAGCTACGAGAATAACAATAACTGTCACGATGACGACAGTACGAGCAATAACCTTGTTATGAATAATAGGAGGAGGAGAAGAAGACAAAAGAGAAAAAAAGGAGGAGGAGAAGAAACAAAGGAGGGGGAAAAGGGGGAGGGGTATGGAGATACCTTTCTTCTAAACTTCTGAAATCTTAATCTGAGCACCAGTTTCTGAAGCAAATGTATACATGTAGTCACCTTAAGAGTAGATATTGTTTTAGCACCTAGTCATGGCAAACATAAGCTTAAAAGAGTCCAGTTGTTTTTTTAGTATATAAATATGAAATAAAAGTACATACTTAGTTGTAGTACGATTCCAGTTAACACTGAGAGAGTAAAGAATCGGCCAAAAACCTCTGTCAGTTGCTATCACAGAAATGTGTCGGCATGAATCCTAAAAGATAATGATATGTTTGCCTCCCCTTTAGCTGATTCTGACAAGATATTAATGATTGAAAGCTTCATAATCATTTCCAGTTTCTCAGCTAGTAAAGCTGAGTCTAGAGATTTGATATCCCCATAGCTTCTTTGGTGGTTGTAACCCTTCTTCTTAAGATTTCATTCGTTTTGTTACTTTTCTTTATCTCACCAGGAATGCGAGTCAAATTTCACAGTATCTTATATTTTCATTCGGGTACAAATTAGTACCGTAAAACGGCGTGACCACTGGAGCAGAACCGACCCGATTTTTGTTAAGTCAGACAATATTCGGTTTGGTTATTTCCAACATGTGTGTTTTTCAGTGGCCCGGTATTTCGGAAAAGACCCGACTGAACTGTTGGCTATCCCCCTTGACGAGTCATGTCCAAGGTCATTGTTGGGTCGGATTGTCTCTAAAAACGTTTTGGACATGTTGAATTACTGATATAATCTCAAAGCTCGTTCATTTTCTTGCTTTCGATTCATTGAAATGCCCATCCATCTTGAATCTAAGTTGATACATTTGCTATTGAAGGAGGTGAGGGTCGTACGGTTTCAGAGGTAAAACTATTAGCGAAATGGCCACCCCAAAAAATGGCGAATTCCAAAGCTTAAGAGAACTTGCAAACTGAACATTTACTTTTTTGGCCTTAAATCAACGTTTTCCAACCAAAATCAAAACAAAAATGTGATTTAAAAAGTTTTAGAAGGTGTTGAGCAAAAAAAGGGACAAAAATTTCTAAATCCATCAGAAAAAAATGTTCATTTCTTCAATTTTATTCTTTTGAAGAGCGATGATTCCACCATGCTGTCTCACGTATTATCACCAAACCGTGGGCAGTATGTCTGTGACATTTAATCCAGTCCCCCATCACCCCTTCCTGCCCACCCCCTCTTTCCCCAAACAAGAGGAGACCAAGCGGAAAACGGTACAAACTCTTCGTTTCTATACATTTGACAATCAACATACCATGCATTCTTTGTAGACTCGAGGAAAGCTTCCAATCCAAATGCTTATCACATTTCGTATACATATCAGTAACATGGGTATACTGCTTCTCCTAATCTGTGTCCCATTGTAAGTGTCCATTGTGACACGAATCTGCCCCCCCCCCCCTCATAAACCCATCCATATATACAGGCGTACCAAACCTTTTCTTCTAGCTCTTTCTCCATCCTCTCTCTCTCTCTCTCTCTCTCTCTCTCTCTCTCTCTCTCTCTCTCTCTCTCTCTCTCTCTCTCTCTCTCTCCCTCTCTCTCTCTCGCTCTTTCTCTCTTTCTCTCTCTCTCACTGTCTCTCTCTCTCTCTCTACGTTTACTGCTCCGACCTTTCCTTCCTCTCTACGCATCGAAAAGAATTTAATGATAGGCATACTAATGTAAAACTTGGCGCTTTTTCGCAATTGCCAGTTCAATTCTCCTCCTGTTTTTCTTGTCCGAACTTCACTCGAAGTATATATCGCTACTTTGTAGTGAAAAAATTGTCTGTTGGTACACAGTTATGGAAGTTATTGGCTGCATCAGGTAAACTCCCCTTCACCCTTTTCAATTCCTAAAATAAATCTCCTAATAAACGAGAAAGGCACTAATTCCACAGTCCCCTAAAAAGATAATAGCACGTTTTGAAGCTGCCGAATTGAATATCATGGAAACAAAGGAATCGGGATCTTTCGCTTGTAGCAGAAACGATTTGAGGTAATACAAGGTAGCAATCTTTTAAAGCGGTACAATTATTTTATGTGCTCTTAAACCAAAAAATCAACATTTTCTTAACAAAGCAATCTTTAGGGGCATAAATATGAAGCTGGATAAGTAGGCTAATAGTGCTTTATCGATACTAAGCATAGAACTTTACATCATGTTTTGTAAGTTTTAAGTGTAAGAGCAATGTGAGACTAACAACAGAGTCCCGTAAAACCTCTACTAAATAATAATAATAAAAATATAATAAACCTCCGATTTTGATGTAGCAGTTAAGCGCCTCGCAGCCCACATTTATTGATACCTGACCGGGGATAACTTTTATCGAGTATATGGGTCTTTCTCCTCTAAATGGTGTATCTTTCTCAGCTGAAGTTACCCTTGACAAGCAGGGTCGAAGACCACCTCTAAATTATCTAAATTGTGTCGATGGGGGCTTAAAGACACCAAAATCAACTTTAAAATTTTAAAAATAAAATAAAAACTAACCTGCGTTTTGGGGGGACTTTTTTCCTTCTCGTGTTTCCTTAATCTTTTTTCTTTTGTTTCGTCTATTTTTCTTTTTTCGCTTGTCTTCTGCGTGACTGTTTGTGGTATTGTCCTTTGTACCGTGTGCCGGATCAATCGGAGTCATCCGATTTTTGATGAGATTTCTGGAGATCTCCATGTTGCCTGCCACCAAAGGGAAGAAAGAGTATAACAAGCTGTAAGAGTCTGTGCGAGCTACACTCTGCAACAATGTAAAATTTTGCAATAGGTGTAATGAGACATTGTAGGCCCACCGAAACAGGAGATGCTTCTTTACATTACAAATGGACGAAATAACCGATTCGAGAATGAGTGAAGAGTAATAGGTCATATTATCAGCAAGAGCTTCCAAAGGAGCATTAACAGCCGCCGAACCAACACAGGTAACAACAGGTCTAGGAAAACTCTTGAAGCATAACAATTTCTGCCATGTTAACACACTTTGACCTTTGTGCCTCGTTATTGTGCATCCTTTACAGTTTTTAAACAGCATTTTGACTAGAAGCGTTATTATTTTGACAAGCAGTTTTCAAACATCATGTAGACAAGCAGTTATCATACGATTTTATTAGTAACGCTCTCCTCATGAATGTTTATGTCTCTGCCGTGTTTGGACTAATACCGGGTGCCCACTACGGATGGGATCGGCCGATCGCCCGACTCGATCGCCTCAAAAACAAACGTGTTTGTTTTCAGTTTCAGGCGATCGAGTCGGGCGATCTGCCCGATCCAGTAGTGGGCACCCCGTATAAGGGAAACGATATCAACTAGTCGTATTGTCATGAACTCCCGGAGTAATATAGTTGGGGCACTAAGCCTCACAGAAACATGACTTTATTGCAATGGTTTAGGCTAAAATACTTATTAGAGCTCTTCTTCAGCCCATGCTTATCGTTGCCAGTATTGAAACCATGTAGCTGTACAAAAGACTGCATGGCTGTTGTACTTCGCTTTTTAAGTAGGTCTATTCGTCAACAAAGAAAACTGAGTTATTTACAGTTTTAGACGTTTTTTTCTGGACGTCACTTTCTTATTTTTATGTTAATACAAAGTCAAAGCCATTACAATTACAAGAAATGCCTGTCTAGTTCTACTCCAACCTTAATGATTTTGCATCCTTTTGAACCAGAAAGGGACAAGCATTTGGTTTTGCTCATGACCAAAATGTGTCATTAAGATGTGATAAACAAGTATTCAAACTCTAACAGCAATATTTACTTATAGGTAATAATTTGTGTTTGCTTCCATCTCTCTCTCTCTCTCTCTCTCTCTCTCTCTCTCCCCCTCTCTCTCTCTCTCTCTCTCTCTCTCTATCTCTCTCTCTTTCCTTCTCTCTCTCTCTCTCTCTATCCATTTATTTATCTATCTCTCTCTCTGTCTCACTCTCCCTCTCTCTTTTTTATGTATCTCTTTCTCTCTCGTTTCCCCTCTCTCTTTCTTTTCCCCTATCTATCGATTTGTTTATCTATTGCAACGTCTTTCTATGTAGGTTCCAGCTGGTGCCTCACTATACGTCAATGGATACTGCTATCGATCATACCAAAGTCAACACAATTTGCACAGAGGAGAGGTCATGGTTGAATCGTCTTGATCTCCTTTTTATAGCGTAATGGTAGCGCAGGTTTTCACACCTATGGCCGTCGTGCACGTTTCTCGTAAGGCTCTCAGGGAATAGTACCTGAAGTAATGTGTCACTTTAACGGCTCATTTATTCTGCCCAATTATGACAAATCGCAGGAGGAGAACAGTCCGTCCTTTTGTCATTTAAGTATCGCTTTTTGTACTGGTTGTCTTTCAGTTTCGCTTTTGTTCAATGAAATAATCTTAATGTCAGGTCTTTCTACACTGCTGACAATATTGTTGACATTGCCTCTCCGCTCGTTCAAGCAGAAAAACATTTTTTACGGTGTTCACACAACCATTCTAAAGGTGACTGACCCCAAACTATTCAACCTCTCCTTTTGCACTTTCAGCTGGAATCTCTTAGAATAAGTCTCACAATTGCAAGAAAAGTGTTGTCACCAGGAAACGTATAGAAGATAAATTGTTATTTTAGTTAGGAACTGTGTAGTGAGATCTCATGGACTATACCGTGACAAGGTGTCTCAACCTTATATTAATTAGCCTCGGCACTTGGCACACTGTTGATGTCTGCGAGGTACTTTATTTAAACATTTTTGCTACGTTATTAGATTGGAAACGGGGGGAGAGGGAAGTTTTCCTAAAATAGCTCTGTTCTTAGTGATTGCAGCGTTGGCGACAACAAGAATTAAGATTCTTTCACCAATGCTCGAAAAACAGAAACAGATAATGAAGGAACAAGAGATCAAGATATTTTGTGTAAATAAAACGGGGTAGAGGTGGGAGTAGGCAAAATATAACGGACCAATGAATATAAACTGAAGTGAAGCAAAACAAACAGAAAAGTAAATAATTCCACAATTCTTAAGAAGGATGCAGCCGTGGCCAGAGGAGTTGCCTGAAACCCTCAGAGATCTCACAATTCCTCAGAAGATAACGTTTTAGCTGAAACATGAAGAAACACTTGTCGAGAAGTAGCAGAAAATGGAGAAGAACAGGTACATTAGAGACATTTTCAAGGAAACAACGTAAACGAAAAACTGGTTCATAGAACAAATTAAACAAACATGCAAACAGACATAGAAGTGGTAAAATATGATACCATCGGTCTGTCATCAATATACCTTTCTTTGTCCTGCCTTTACTCTGAATTGTGGATGAATATATTGGCCTGGCTCCGTCTTTACGGAATCTAGTGAGGCTGTTACTTTCTGGAACCTCGGCAACGCGGCTGATATCCAGAGACCCCCGGTCATCATAGTGAGAGACATCTGGCATTTTGCGATTGTTCTCATAATTCCATGCTCCTCTTGTACCATGCTCCAAATGTGAACCTCCCTCTCCAACTGCACTATCGTGTCCTGATGAAACTGAGGAAACAGATGACATTTGATGTCCCACAAGGGTGATTTCGTTCCTTCTGATGACGACAGGAGGATTTTCAAGTTTCGGTTTTTCGATGATGTAGTTTCCACGACGAATAGGAGACATTTCCCAGCTGTGTTTTTTACGTAGAGTTGTACTATCATATCGTTCATTTGCATCCTCAACTGATGATGCTAAAGAAGGTTCTGCGAATGTAGCAGCCGGATAAGTACCATTGTTCGGCGATGATGTTTTGATATCTGTAATCTGCGGCGAGCTTCCACTCATGTCAGAACCAGCAATGTCCCGGTGACCGTTTGCCGTTTTCTTCGACACGTGTAGCTCCTGGTTTAGTAGAGACCAAATATCATCGTCATCTGGGACCGGTGGTTTGGCTGTTAAAACTCTGTAAAAACAAAAATACCAAGACATTTTTAACACAAAATTAATAATATGCATGCGTGGTGAATGCATAAAAAGTAGAATTTGAATTTGTGGCACCACCAACCAAGGAATATTTTGAAAGAGAAATGATTTTCTTTCAGTCTGGTTGTAACATTTGATTACTGTGACGACCACTTTCGGTATTACGTCACTACCAGAAGTATTACATTGTGTAAGGAGCAACGTTGCCTGCTAGAATCATTTGTACGCTGAGTATAGAATGTTATTAGAAGCACATTCGTATTTGAGTTCATCATCTCTACAACCAACGCTTTATCGTTGAATCTCTTCTTTCCTGAAAAAATAGAAAGAGATCTCGTTTATTCAAAAGTACAGCCCTTTCCACTTTCACCTCTACGTTTCAACTTTAAAGCTCTATTTTGGTTTAGAAATACATAATTTTCCTTTCTTATATCTCAAATTATTTGGTGAAAAGCATACATTCAGTTCAGCTTAAAAGATGACCTTGTAAGCCAGAAGGAATGGAATCTTTTAACATATAAAGTGTTCCACAGCCCAGCTATCTGGGACCTTTAGAATAGTTCATTCCTCTTTGTACTGTACTCTTCGGCTACAGTCCAACGAGGAATAATGATGCTAGAGGATTTTCTTCGCCTCTTCTTTTGCTTTCTCCTTAATCCCAAGCTTTAAGGATATCTCCGTGGGTTCTTTCGGTACCCTCCCTTTTCCTTCAGCTCCATTATTTTCTCTAAGAAGGAAAGCAAACATGTAAGCCGTGCTGACCCATCAGAAACACCTAAAAGGCTATTCATGTGTGAAGGGCAAGAACCCTTCGAATGCCAGGCCGAACAAAGAATCTCAGGTAGTAAAGCTTTTTTAAAACACTTTGCTGTAGCCATTTTTTTTCACCACACAAATTTGGCATATTCTTAGCACTGACTAAATCTTATTTTACGTCTAAAAATACTGTATAAGGGCATTTACTCTTTTGCTTTTACACAAGAAAACGGTCTCTGAAGAACGATTTTATCTTAAATAGAACAATGCATAAGAAAGAAAATATATCGACTTTCACTCTATTATGTTATTTACGCTTCAAGAACTTTTGAAGAGTAGCAAATCTCCTGCCTTTTTAAATTAATGTCTTTTCTTAATTCTGTTCATACTTTTTTTTATCCCTTTCCCATTTACATGAGATTGACGCAATCTGATTGGTTGAAAAAAGTGCTTATGATAGTGTATCACGTGCATAATTAGTGTAACAAGTAAGTGTAACAGCATATAGAAATTCCAGAAATATAGATGTAAGTCATTGATCTGAGAGCGGTGATGATTATAGAAATAATGGGGGTGATGGGTGATGATGTGGGATTGCGTTTAAGTAATGTTAGCGCTAGTCCTATCTTCATCTGCTCCGATGAGTCATGACAGACGTGGGCACCCTCTTTCCCATTTCCTACTGGAACCATCTTTAAGGTCACCGTGAAGTTCCGAAATTGTGGTCACAGTCTCTGCTAATGTGACCTTGTTTGTGTTAGCCTATTCTATCGGGCCAAGACAAATGTCGAGAGGAGGTAAGTGGGAAAACTGTGTACTGGCAGGTATGTTGGGGTATTTGTAAGCGGGTTGTAGGTAACAAGTTGGCCAACAGATTATGATCTTTAAAAATGCAGCATTCTACTCCCTAATCATTTGCTATGAGTATTCTTTTCGAGTCCCATTAAGCTTGCGGAGATTCTTACACAGGATCCTCGAACCCGAGTCGAGAGGGCACAATTTATACATAATATTGTATCCCCTCGCCTCAGGGGGAGCGACCTCAAACTCCCACATCAAGTACCCTGTGTCTGAATCCCCACGGTCTCGTCCAGTATTGGTATAATTCCAATGTTACGTTTGGTAGCAATTCCTACATTTAACTAGCCAATTTTGTGCAGATGCTAGCTAGATGTGTTTTGGTGGATAGAAATGACTAGAGCGAAAGCGGAAGAGAGAGAGAGTGAGTGAGAGAGAGAGGGGGAGAGAGAAAGAGAGAGAGAGAGAGAGAGAGAGAGAGAGAGAGAGAGAGAGAGAAAGAGAGAGAGAGAGAAAGATAGAATGGGAGTTGGAGAAGGGAATTCTAGTTCCACTTATATCAACAGAGAGAGAGAGAGAGAGAGAGAGAGAGAGAGAGAGAGAGAGAGAGAGAGAGAGCAAGTAGGTATTCTTTTCCGCCCCAGTAAAGTGTGGCTTGCTGTGCCTGGCTTGTGAATCAAGCACGTTTTTTACTTTGGTCTTAGACCGTGTCAAGTTGGTAGTGGATGGTCCTGATTCCAAACGTGTAATTATGTATTGGCTACTCGATTTAGTAACACCTCTTATTCTGTTTGCGCAGGCAAGCAGTCTTCGGGTTCGCGTGACTTTTTAACCTTTCCGTGTCACGCTGACTCGTTGTCTGTCTGTCTGTCTGTTCTGTCTATCTGTCTGTTTTTCATTCTTTCTGTTTGTCTTTTTGTCTGTCTGTCTGTCTGTCTGTCTGTCTGTCTGTCTGTCTGTCTGTCTGTCTGTCTGTCTGTCTGTCTGTCTCTACATTAATTTTTGTACGCGTGTACCTGTCTTTCCATAGTAGGTCGATTAGTAGCTCATACTTGTTCCTTATTATGTGATCATTATATCCATGTTTATTTGAGAGAAAATGTCAGGTTTGCTACACGCAGCGTATCATAAGAGATACTTCATTTGCTTATAAAAAAGAAAGCGCATGTAACAGGAACGTCAGAAGTATTCATATTGATACCATCATGCAGTAAAAACATGCAGGTGGTGTTCGTCTAAAATAGCATTATCTCAGGTTGTGAAGACTGGGAAGACAGTTTGTTATCACATTTGTATGTTGATGGAAATATTTTCCCACCAAATGCTGCAGGTCAGTCATAACACATTAACACCAATACGACATAGCATGCACCACTAAGCAAAGCCTCGTTAATCCAGCTACAATGTTGGTTTGAATTACACATGCTGCAAACTTTTTTCCACGCTCTTTGTGTGCAGGTTGGTTTCTCTTTAAAATTATACCCTAAACCAAAAAAAAGTTTTTTTTTGGTAACTGAGGTACAAAACCATGGAGAGTTTACACTGAGAGAATAAAACTTGATGTTGTGTAGACTTTCCGTTTTCTTTATTAAACAGAGGATGATACAAAGTCGTATCTCGGGTTCATTTCATTGTTTTCATATTATTATCGTTTGCTTACTTTTCTGCGTCTTGTTGAATATTACACATCCCCTCCATCCACCTCAAGGGAACTCAGAGATTTTTAATAAGTCAAGTGCACACATCAAATGTACATTACATGGAGCCACAAAAGAAGAGGTACATAATTCTATTTCAAAATTATCATTACATGTACTGCTTTAAATAGTAGTTTAAATTGGTTTGATATCTCCACGAAAACTTTCTAGTAAATGCTAATACGCAACAATATTATGTAGGCTAATCATTTATCTTTGAGATCCCAGATCCAAGCCATAATTTTTAATCACAAAGAGTCAACATATTGCTACAAGTTCCATAACAGAGCGACGACTCACCACAACCGTAAGGTCGCCGACTGTGGGCCCAGTCGCTGTCAGAGTCTCCCTGTAAATGCCACGTTCTCTAAGCCAGTTCGTCCCCTCTGCAGGGAAGGAATTGGAACCAACAGGAAGTCTTTTACCCGCCTCTGAAGCGGGTACGTGTTGCCCCAGAGAGTCCAGGAGAGCTGCGAACAGTCATCATCGTCATCATCATTATTATTATTATTATTATTATTATTATTAGTAGTAGTAGTAGTAGTAGTAGTAGTAGTAGTAGTAGTAGTAGTAGTAGTAGTAGTAGTAGTAGTAGTAGTAGTAGTAGCAGTAGTAGTAGTAGTAGTAGCAGTAGTAGTAGTAACAGTAGTAGTAGTAATAGTAGTACCATCATCATTATTATCATCATTATCATGAGGCTTATCATCATCAATATGAGCACCAGCGTGGATAATGCTCGTTGTTTGCGTGTTTGTTTCTAATAGCAGATGGTTTTTGTGTTTGTTTATTTGTCTGTTTGTATCTTTCTTTTGTTGCTTTTGTTTTGTTTTGTTTTAGTTTTGGTTTTTTGGTTTTGCTTGTTTGGTTTATATATGTTGTTGTTTTTTTAAACACTTTTATTTGGGGGGGGGGGGGGTATTGTTAACAAACTTTTATTTGTAGCCGGAAGAAAACGGTTCCAGTCAGGAGGGTGTAGATATCAACCTTTCTTTTCCAGAAAAAAACTACCAATAATTGTAAATGCTCTACACAAACTTCGACAAATGCCCCTACCAAGAATTTCTGACCCCGGAGAATTTTCATTTTTGCACCAACAGCTATTTACTGAAAACATTTGTCCTTAATAGAAAAAATAAATGGCACTTTCTACCAGAAAGCATATTTCAAACTGATAATCAAGATAAAGATCGCGTAAAGGCTCCAAGCTGGGACAATCTGGCTGGAAACACTAGACAGGTGGATCAGAAAGCGCTTTTATCCCTATTCTTATCACGCGAAGACTGTCCGGGCCATGAGAAAGAACATTTTCTCTGATGTCACTGATAATGTTACGCTGGGAGGCAATTTCGTTGTAAATCACTCTAATAGTATTTACGTTCCGACCCAAGGAGCAATGGGAACGCTAAGTGACAACATGAAATATGTTTTGAATGTTCGGTTATAAACAGGAATAGAATACAAATCCTTATCACAGGTCACTGTATAGGTTTCGCGCTTCTTTCATCATTATATTGGTATTTAAGAGATGGCTCCTTTAAATTTTGACTCCTAACATTGATAGGACAGAGCCAAATGGCTAGATAACCTTATAAACTCCCCAAATAACTCAATTTCAGAACCCTCAGTTGGAAGCTGACTGATATTTTTTGTCACGAGATTGTATCCCTGGTACAGGTGTCCATGTTTCCCTTCAGTCATCAAACATAAAACCTCAAAGCATCCAGATATGTTATCGCATAAAACACAAAGCAAGCGAGTATAAGATATATTTTGTTCTCCCTTAATTGAAAATGTAGGGTCTTCATTATGAGATGAAATAAGCAAATTGATGCATTGTTAAGGGTGAGCTATTGGAATTACATTTTTTCGGGGGAGGGGGGGGGGGGTTGATTTGAGTGGGGGGGGGGGGGGTTTCTTGTGCATTTTCTTTCTATTCTAATTCCCGTCAAATTTTAAAAAGACAGGCTCAAAGCAATTAGACACAATCGTGTCTATGCACAGCTGTCCCCAGCACCCTCCGACCAGTCCTCTACCCCTCCATCACAACCCCATCGCTTTTCTCATGTTCAGAACAAACGTCACGACTACACCCAATAAAACGTCGTTTGTGTCCACTCAACTTAGCGTGGAACACAAGGACAGCACTGCCTAAAATCAGACGGAATAGTAATTCACTTCTCCTTTCTCTTTCCTGTAGATGTTGCTTTTTGAAAAAAAAATGTGTTTACTAAATTTGATGAACCCTTACCCAACGAGCATAATGTATAATGTTGATTTTTTTTTCATTATAGATTGTATGTGCACTGCTGTTCTGTAACAAATAGCTGTGTGTCGTGAACAATGTTCATATGTGCGTGTGTGTACGCTTTTTAAATTTTTGGTGGGATAGAAAAAGAAAGTAAGAATAGAAAGAAATGGACAGAAAGAATCGCTATTGAACAGTGTGTTTCTCTTATTCGTTTTTATTTTTGTCATATGCATTTAGCATTAATTTCGAGGGAATTCGCAATTAAAGTGAAGTTATTTATTATAATTATTATAATTATTATTATTATTATTATTATTATTATTATTATTATTATTATTATATTATTATTATTATTATTATCATTATCATTATTATTATCATCATAACTATTATTACAATTAATTATTATAATTGTTATTATTATTATTATTGTTATTATTATTATTATTATTATTATTATAATTATTATTGTTGTTGTTGTTGTTATAAATATTACTATTATTTTTATTTTTATTATTATTATTATTATCATTATTATTATTATTGTTGTTGTTGTTGTTGTTGTTATTATTATTATTTTAGTTTTAAATTATTTTAATTATTATCATTATACTAATTGCAGCTTACAAAGCAATTAGTTTTGTTTTTTCAACCGTTCCTTTTTAAGACAGACGGATAGGCCAAAGATCTTCTGCTATAGTAAACGAAAATCTGGTGTTTGAAAAATTGTATAATGCATGTTGACAACACTTACCAATCGCACTAGAGATGTCCCCTTCTTTAACGATATTGATGAAAGTAGCACCTTGTGGAATCCGCACGACTCCAGAGAATCCATAAGTTTCTGCGGATGAGGCAGGGTTTGATTTTGTTTGTATGTTTGTTTGTTGCTGTTGTTCGGTTGTTGTTGTTTTTGTTGTTGTTGTTTTTGTTGTGTTTTTTTTTTGGAGGGGGGGCGGGGCGGGGAGATTATTGTACTCTAATTACATTCTAGACAAGGATATTTATTTCTAAATGCCACGATTCAAATGATCTACTACACCATTTCCAAGAGAAGACAGTGATACTGACCATAAAGCAGATTAAGGTGAAGTGGAAACAACACTAAGAAAAAAGCTAAAACACTATCCCAAAGACGAAATGTGTCTTCTAAAGATAAATAAATAATTAAAAAAAACAAAAAACATTTGTATAGCGCATACCCCCGCTCAACAGCAATATCTATGCGCTTTACACTATATCATTACCAAGCAGACCATAGAACACTCCGAAACATTCTCAGCTTCCCGGGAAGCATATATAAAGAAGTGAGAGACCGTTTCCGTATTGATGTAAGCAATATATTTCAAGCTCTGGAAAACAAGACTAAATTTGAAGAATTTTGCGATCAAGTTGAAGGATTAACTTGTATGTAAGATACAGAAGAAAATATCCACGAAAAATCTAAGAAAGTAAAATAAGAAGTGAATAACCTTAGACATAATAATATTAAAGCTCATGGAACAGAGAGGACATGGCACATCCGACAGAAAAAGTAAAAGGTTTTGAATATGGAAATAAAGAAAAAATTAACATGGGCAATTTATCAGTGTCAAGAAATAGAGAAGATCCAAAACAAAGATGGCAGATATATGCATACTAAAACCAAATAAGTGAAGGGTGGGGGGTGGCGGAGGACATTCAAATACAAGCCGCATAAGATCAAAAGACAGAGATATTTTAATGGACTAAGTGGATGTTTGAAACAGGTGGTCATTATAAATAGAAGAACGTTTCAAAAGTAATAGAAGAGAAAAACAAGTGATAAAGAAATTATTAAATGGCCCACCAATTCTGGAAGAAGCATGTGTGTACAAGCTGCCATTGTGAAAATGAGGCAACACAAAGCTACAGGGGCCGTTATTCTTCCATTTGAACTGATTGACACCTTAGAAGAATTAGACACTGAAATAACAACAAAGCTTTATAATGATTCTACTTATGATCGTGGTGAAATTCCAGAAGATATAATGAAAGCAGATTATAAAGCTTTACGCCCAAAGTACCAGATGCCACTGAGTGTGAGATCCATGGACCGTTGTACCGTATGTGTCATTTTACAAAAATCTTGCTACATGTACTAATGGAAAGAATAAGAAAACGTCTGCTAGGGGCAAAGGCTCAAAAACACAATTTGCAATTTGATTTTGTTCCTGACAAGGGAACCCACAATGTTACATTCACCCTAACAATGTTAATAGAAGGATATATTGACGCTGAGAAAGATCTTTTTTATGCTTCTTTGATTGTTCAAAGGGTTTTGATAACGTAAGTCCTTAAAAGCTATCCAGAATAGTGGAAGCGGTAGACATCGACGGAAAAGAACCAAGAAATATTAGGAATTTTGTACCGGGACCAAATACTTCTCTAGGGTGATTGAGAGTACAGTGAATATGATCAAATCAAAAGAGGAGTACGGCAGGGATGTGTCATGTCACTTGACCTCTTTAACCTTTACAGTGAAACAATCCTTAGAAACACAAATGTCCATGCCCCAAAAGGGGATGAGGAAAATATTAATTACAACATATATACCGATGGTATCGTTTTAACTGCAAATTCATAAAATGACTTTTAATTGCTTTCAGGTACTAATGTGACTGAAAGTGAACGTAAAGGTTTCTGGTTAAATGGGAAGAAACCAAAATGCATGGTAGTATTTAAAAAGCAATAAATCCTACTTATAGTCTCACAATCTTACGAAAGAATCAAACAACTTTAACAGTTTAGATATCTAGGATATGTTTTTAACATCCGGTACCAAATGTTCCACAGGAATGCAACAACGAATTGCAATCGTTAAAGATAATTTCAATACAATGAGCCCTATCCTGATAAAATAGAAACACCTCAATAACTACTAAAAAGGTTATTCAAGGCTTTGTGTGGTCAACCCTTCTATAGAGCTGTGAATGCTGGGCAATCACCAAAGACAGTGGGGAAATAGAAGCATCAGAAAAGAGAGTGTCATGGAAGGAAAAGAAGTCAAATCAGGCAGTACGTGAAGAAGTCAGATCGGCTGGTCGTTGACAAAAATAATAAGGACGAGATAAGGGCCATTTTTGGAACATTTGAATATAGACACAAAAGCCTTGAACAACTAGCTTAACTGGTAAAACTGAAGGCAAAGGAGGCAGGAGAAAACTACACGGAAATAAAAGATAGGTGGCGGGAAAAGATCAGGATAATAAAGGGTGTTTTTTTTAAATAGTGCATCTGAGCAAGGGAATTTATAGTGAGCTATGATTGCCAATGTTTAGAGCAGATCTGCATAATTTGATGATGAAGAACTGAGTTCAAGTTCATTTCTTGGGCTCAAGGGTTTGCCCCGACGGGAAATTATGTATATAACAATCACACCGTGTCATTTCTTCCGCTTGGGCGATGTAAGCGTGGAGGTTTGTGTATGTGTGTGTTTGCGTATGTGTGTGGGTGGAGGATGGGATGTCGGGTTTTTATGTCAACGCCCTATTGTACTGTAGAACCAAACTTCTCTCCGTGCCCTTTATACGAGGTTTGACGAAGGGAAGAAAGACATAAAAAATCGGCTGTCGTTTGTACTTAACAAGCGATAGCATCGCCTAATTTCACTGTTTCTTCGCTCTGCTATGCACAAGTAATAAAAACTGATGCCATTTCTCTATTTTACTCAACATTTCATTCTTACGACTCTGTTCTGGTTCACTTCAATGTTCTTGGCTTTGTTAATTCCAAACAATTCGTGCGTGTCTGTGCTTAAGTCAGGTATGGTCACAGAGCTGTGAGTCCTATTATAGATAGATGGTAAATATATCTAATAGGTATTTCATCTAAAGCCTACGACATACATACTGGTTTTAGATTCAGCCATTCATTTTCATCAAAACAGGTCCAAATAGTTTTAGAGAGATTATTATAGTTTTGCTGAAGGAAATCCGGCCACTCCTTCAAAAGTTTGTAAAAAAGTAAGCACATCGTGGTTTTTGAAAAGCATTACGTGATTGCTACGCAAGACAGAACCATTCCGCTACCCTGAAAAAAACATGTTGTAGACCACGTTAAAAACAGTTGTCTTGGTACTTTTTAGAACTTTGTGACGAGACTTTTAGAGTTCCAAGAGCTGAAACTCAGCTTTGATTGTCGGTTCGTAAAATATATTCAGCCTATCAGCTGAGATTATTTCAAAGTTTTCGACGTCCTTAGTATCTCTACTTAGGAGTTGATATTACTTGACAATCTGGAAACACACTGAGTTAACATTTGTTCACATTGAAAAGGAAATATGGATCAAATCCTAAACAGAAATCTTACCCCCCCTCCCCAGCCCACTCCCCTCACACATCCCCTTGGCTCGTGCTTATTGGACATTGACCTTAATATTGGAGGTATTGTCTATAAAATAACGCCACTGTGTTTAAACAGGCGTTCATCGATTGCTAACCATTAATGAATTACAAATGCTAGAGATCGTAACAGAGATTAAGCAATGCTAGCCTTCTTCTGTTAAACTTTCCTTTTTTGGCTTTAAATAATTCAAATTGACTACTTCTCATGAAGTCATGGTGACAACTACCCTTCTTTGCAGATGTGTTGTATATCTATGGAAGTATATCTGGCTTAAGGGAAAAATGTTTCATAAGCCCTGCATCCCCGCATTTCTTTCAGTGGCGCCATACAGCTGGTCATCGGATCTTTATTATCTTGATACTCTTTGCGGGTGTCCATTGATAACATCAAAAAAGGGAAGTCATTAAAAGGTCAGGAACAGAAAAGCCAAAGCTAAATCCGCTTTTTAGCCTTTGATTAGTATCCTGAGATATAAGATCTACGTGGTAGTGAGAAAACTAGTCCAAGGATGCTACACCGAGTCAGTGCTACTTTATACGGTTGTTCAGCTTGGACCAAAGGCAAGCATTCGCATCATTTAAAACATTTGGAAGAGATATCAGCTATGGGAAGAACAGCGTAAAGACTATGGGCAATACATAATATACTTATATACAAGTCCTAAGTCACGTTGCATAAGACCACAAACAAAGGTGATTGCTTTCACCAGATGGAAAAGCGCGGACATGATACAGTTTTTGATGAATGAATAAATTGGAATAGATATTGTTTAAGTAAAACTCGTGTCCACAGATAAAATGTTCTGTTGTACGACGTACGCGCTGCGGGTCTTCATTCATGGTTCTGTAAACATTGAGTTGCACTTTAAAATTACATGGATGGGGCTGGAAAATAGAGGGAGAGAGGAGGAGGGGGTAGATGGTGGAGACGAATAAACGGAGATATATATGAGGGGGGGGGAGAAGAAGAGGGATAAAGATAGGAGAAGGAATATGGATGAAAAAAGAGGGTAAGACACACAAACACAAAGGGAAAGAGAAAGAGACAGAGAGACAGAGAGGAGATAAATGAACAGAGAGACAGAATAGGGGGAGAGATGAAAGTGGAATACAACTAACGTTCTGAGACGCTGACGATGAAAAGAAGAAATGCTTGCTCAGGCTTGAGAATCTATTTCAAGGTTCATGACCACGTTATGCAGTCAGCATAACATGATAGGGGAAGAACAGAAAGAGGATTGAACATGGGTTTCAGCAACGGAATAGATGTGGGATAGGGAAGAGGAGGAAAAAGAGAAGGAGGAACAGGAGAAGGAGGAGTGAGGAAGAAGATAAAGAGAAAGGGAAAAGAAGAAAGGGGAAAAGAGAGAGAGAGAGAGAGAGAGAGAGAGAGAGAGAGAGAGAGAGAGAGAGAGAGAGAGAGAGAGAACGGAAGAAGAAAAAGAGGAGGAGGAAAAGAAGGAAATGGAGGAGAGGGAGAAGAAGGAGATATCCATTACCTGTTCGAGATGTGGAGGCCCGGAATGAACCAGTTACTTGATCGCAAGAGGAGTTATTCCCCCCACACACAAGGCACATGTCCAGTCGAAGCGACGTGCCGTCCGAGTCGTGGCAGCCTCTGCTCACCTCCTTGAAAGCAAAAAACATAATTCTGGCTCTTTTGCATTTATTTTTTTATTTGTTTTTCTGCACATTGTCTTCAATGCCAGCTCAGATATAAATAGCTCACATTCAAACACTGAGAAAATTCAAGAAGGCAAAATCCTATTTGGATCAAATTAAAGAGCAAGACTTTTCATGGAGTATTCAGCGACAATATACTGGAAAACCTGGGTAAGAACTAAACGTAACATGAAGAAGCAATTAATTTTACATGTAAACAGAGTTATGAATTCATCGTAAAACAAAACCTTCTCTTACATGTAATGGATTGTCATTGTCAATGTCATTTACCTTGCAGATGCCTTTGTTACACTCAGCATAGCGTGCGCCATTCTGTGAGCATACTGTACCATCAGGAAGCACTTGGAGGGTCCGCACAGTGTAGCCTCCTATCACAGCACACACCACTCGGCATGGATTTCCTTTTATCGCGGGCGGTTGGGCGGGAAGGGGGGGGGGAGGAGGAGTTGACCAATAGGTGGTTTTAGAAGTAATTTTTAAGTTGAACAAGAAAGATGACGAGTGATTTCTATGAGTAATTACGTTTTGTAATCTGACACCACACTATACTTTTACTGTATCATTTAAAAAAAACAACCTTAGAGATCGGGTCCGAGTTTCCTTTGCAAGAATACAACTTCCAAATTAATATGTCGCTTGTTTCCATTTTCAAAATATGTTTTTGTTTAGCAGAGTACGGGGAATTGATATCAACTGGTATGATGAAAAGTCTTCACTGTTGTTGCTATTATTGTTTCTATAATCATCATCGCCAGCATCATCATTATTGTATAGTGGAAAATTATAATGGATCTTGAATATATTTCTGAAAAGTAAAGGATATTTACAACAGTACTCAATCACTATCATCATCATCATTATCATCATCATCGTAATTATCATCATCATCATCGTTAATAATGATATTCGGATTCCAAACCTCTGCCTATAGACATTGGTTAATTTGCTATTTGTCCTCAACTGCGCTAAAGCGGTATTGTTTTACATGTTATAAATCACTGTTAGCCGACATTTTGCATACGTAAAGCTTTTCCACCTTTGTACGCCACTGACCAGTTTTGCAATTCAAGGTTTCATCGTTACAAATTTCCCCAAAATTCCTCCTATTTAATCTACATGTTACGTAAATGTAGGCAAGAGGACATGACAACCATAATAAAAAGGAGAAGGTGGAGATGGATTGGACATGTTCTGAGAAGAGAGCCAAACTCTATTGTGAAGACTGCCCCCCACTGGACACCCGAAGGACGTCGGAAAAGGAGCAGACCCAAAGTGACCTGGAGACGCACAGCAGAGTCTGAAATGAAGTCTTGGTATCATTCGTGGGGAACGCTGACCAAGATGGCCCAAAACAGACAGAGCTGGAGATCCTTTGTTGGTGCCCTAAACGCCAGATAGCGCAATGGGTAGTAAGTAAGTAAGTAAGTTAATCTACATAAACGCTACGCTCACACATCCCCTTGGCAAGCATAAAAAAACAACAATCTGATTGTAGTAGATAAAAATGAATTTACCGAGGCTTGGTAGGTATTTCATTATGATTGTTAAGAATAGAACACTGCTGTGAGCCAGTTGAAAAGGTGCTCCGTACACTAAGAGTCAAAATTATGTCTTTTACATATTATTTTGTTAGGCATTGTAGTGAAATTGAGCGCTCGTAAAAATAATGAATTCAAAGAAAACGACAGTTTTCTTCATATCTTGCAAATTTTATCATTTTAGAAACATTTAAGAGAATTCATGTATTATTTGTGGTATTTTACAAACACGAGTTACTTTTGAACAGGATATGAAAAAAAACCCAATACATGTAGATCTGATTGCATAACTAATAACATTGTTACAGAAAAGCCCAGTCTTCCTTCATCAATGCTGTTGAACGTATCTTGACAATAGGGTATTCCCAACACCCAGGGCACAGTTACGAAGAATTTCTGTTGCCGATCTAAGGCTGTAAGAATACAGAGGTTCAAAACGTGTTGTTTTGTCTGTCTGTCTGTCTGTCTGTCTGTCTGTCTGTCTGTCTGTCTGTCTGTCTGTCTCTCTCTCTCTATCTCTCTCTCTCTTTCTCTCTCTCTCTCGCTCTTTCTCTCTCTCTCCATCAGTACATATATATATATTATATTTATATAATAGATAGACAGATAGAGGGGGCTCTCGTGGCCTAGAGGTTACGGTGTTGGCCTCTCATTCAAAGGTCCCGGGTTCGAATCTGGGTAGCGACCGAAAAATTGTCTGCTCTAAATTTGTCTCCTTTCACCCCATTTCCTGCTCTCTAGCAATATTCTTTCGTCTGCTTTCGTCTCCTCTTTCTGCCCCCACCCCTCACCTCCTTTTCCCCCTTTTTCAGGGCTCCTGATTCTTTCTGCAGCCTTTCTACTGCTACTCCTTCGCTTCTTCTTACTGCTGTCTTTCAGCCACATCCCTGATCTTCTGGTAGGAAAGATCTACACCTAGCCTTCTCGGACAAGGGCGAAAAATCTCGAAGGGCTCGTGTGCAAATTGCGCACGTTAAAGACCCCTTGGTGGTCTAAAATCGAAAAAAGCAGGCTTCGGCCGCCACCCGGGGAAAATTCAAAATGTCCTACCAACTGAAAATATTAGGTGTGTCCCGCGCGCTCATATGACCTTAATGCAGTTGCGAGCGCCGTAAAACACTTTACAAAAACAAAAAACAAACAAATAGATAGTGTCGCTGTCTATCTATCTATCTATTTATCTATCTATCTATCTATTTATCTATCTATCTATCTATTTATCTATTTATTTATCTATCTATATCTCTCCTCTCTCTCTCTCTCTCTCTCTCTCTCTCTCTCTCTCTCTCTCTCTCTCTCTCTCTCTCTCTCCCCCCCCCCCCCATTATTTTCCTTTTGATGTACGCGTTTGTTCGTGTCTGTCATCTTCACTGTGTTCATGTGCCGACGTCTCCTTGCAAAAGCATGTCACTTTTAGGAAGAATGCTAATGCTATACAAAGCAGTGGCTCTAAAACTGTAATTAAAAAACAAACAACCATATTATGTTACAGCGTGGTGCAATCAGGTGCTCGTCAGTTTTTCTACATGTGAAGTTATTGGTATCAAAAGAAAGTTTGTTAATTTGTCTTGCTTTTGATTATGAAAATACACATATATCTTTAATGGAAGTCGAGATATTTGCCTTGAAGGAGGTGGGGGATCTCCTGGTTGCTGATGTCGGATTAGAGAGAGAGAGAGAGAGAGAGAGAGAGAGAGAATAGTCACCAAAGTGTGGTGACTTTTAGGTTGAGAGTCCTTGTAAACGGCAAATTTACATTGGTTGTGCCTTTAATCAACGTTTTTTCAAGAGAATCCACATAGAAATGCGTTTACTAAATGGACAAAACAGGTACTGGGCTAATGGGGGGTTTTTTGTTGTTGTATTTTTAAATTGCCAAACAGGCGGGAAAATGCCGGTTTATTTGATTTCATTATCTTGACGAGCCCCTGGCTTCACTAACATGCCACTCAATTATATGTGAGGCACCGTGGTGAAACCAGACGCTCATCAAAATACTGAAATCAAAGAAATTGGCATTTCTGACCATTGACAATATTTTTTCTAATTTTCTGTTTTTGGCTCAACACCTTTTACATCCATTTAAAAACACATTTCCGTGGGGGGGGTGGCTCAACACCATTTATATATCAATTTAAAACACGTGTGGATTTTACTGAAAAACATTGATTTAAGGCATACAAAAATGTCAAATTTCAGTTTACAAGGACTCTCAAGCTATGAAAATTACCAATCTATGGCGGCCATTTTCTCGCTAATTTCACTTCTTAAACCAGGCGACCCTGATCTGCTTCAATCGCAAATATTTCGACTTCTATTCAACATAGAAGGATACTTTTTTCACCAAAAGCTAGACTTGAAGATGGTACCAATAACCCCATATGCCCAAAATTGACGAGCGCGTGATTCCACCTCGTCGCAAAACATAATTCAGATTTTTTTTTTCCCCGCAACAAAGTGTTGTCGTGGCGTACCTCTGTCCACCCGTTGCCAGTTACGGTGGCGGTGTCGACTCCGTCTGGCGTGCTGCAGAACCTGACACTCGTCGTCCACACTTTGATCGTACATTCTATTTCCTGGGCAAGCCTATTGGACAAGAGCGTTGTAATGATTTGAAACCTACTGGAAATGGCTACAAACAAACACATGTACCCCCTCTAACAATCCTTTTCACATCGTCCAAAGGATGTCATTGCCTCAGTTCTGCTTTACATTAATTTGTTAGTTTATTGTTCTGACAATTAGCTATTTCGCTTTCTTTGGGTTCTTTAATGAATACTTGTCAGTAGAAAGCTTCCTCGAAATTGTTTGTTCGACAATTTGAAACAGAGGGAAATTCATTATATTAAAACAAAACAAAACAAACAAACAACAACAACAACAACTAGAACTGTGACTATACAGACCAAGGGACCTAGGAAAAACAGAACACTTCACGTGATGTTTTTTCAACAGCCGAATTTAGAGTCACAACCAAATCTTAGAGACAGGTAAAACGTTAAAAAATCACACGCACATGCAGTTGTCACTACTGATAAAATGTTAAACGTTTCGTTTTGTTTCTCTTTGTTTGGTTAGAAGAACATTTGCTCGGACTCTACACATAATTATTTCAAGTCCATACTCCCAAAATAAAGGGCGCCTGTTGCGTGCCGTTACGTTCTCCACCGTTCGAATGGTGGGGTATATTTTTTAAAATACACGTTGCTTATCTGTTGGGCTATGTTTCCCTGTCAGCCTGGGTTGACCTGACAAGCTCTGTGGCAGCAGTCCGCCTTTTTATGGTATAAATAGTGTCGATGGGGACATGCTATGTTTACATTTACAATTAACAAACACAAAACGTAGCAAAAATTCTTCTAAACGATGTCGTTGCCGGGTTTTTTAAAGTATTTCAAATAAATGAGTGAACCATATTGTAGTATGTGATCTGTAATGCCATCTTGTAATATATGAAGTGGAGATAGATTGAATGGGGAGGAGCTAAAATAATTTCATAGTGCATGGTTTGAGTAGTGGGCGAGGGGGGGGGGGGTCCCCTATTTTAGGGAATCATGAAAGTGTGCAAATTGTAATGTTTATTGAAATATGTTCTTTTTTGAGTACCTAATTAAGTAAGTAAGAATAAAATATACCTGAGAAAAGCAGAGTCTTCTTCTAGTATCCCGCCCTTGACATTTCCAGGGTTTAGCTGCTTTTACCTCCACACTTCGCCACATTAGACAATCGCGTCGTTTCGTGGTTACGCCCCTTCCACACGAGCTGGAACAAGCCGACCAACTGGACCAAGGGCCCCAGTACACAGGATCACGAAGTGGGTGGAGTCTTGGGTCGTCACAGTAGCATGTCTGTGGTGATCAGTACATGCGCGTAATTTTTCTCTCTTTTCGTGTGTCTCTCTGTTTGTCTCTTTGTCTGTCGGTTTGCCTGTCTCTCTGTCTGTCCGTATGTTTATTTGTATGTCTGTGTCTGGCTCTGTTCTTTCTTTCTCTTTCTCTCTCTTTCTCTCTCTCTTTCTCTCTCTCTCTCTCTCTCTCTCTCTCTCTCTCTCTCTCTCTCTCTCTCTATTTCTCTCAAATGTTTGTCTTACAAAACTTCGCTGTTGTTAGATCTATTTGCCAGTGAAGACAGTTGAGACAGTTTCCAAAGTGACCTGATCGACTTTGATCCGGCAGAGCTCGTCTTGTTGAATTTGCTTTGTTGTACAAAAATAAATGGGCATTGTCACTGAAAAAAAACCCCGGGAGGTCGACGTTTCGCCACAATTACGTCACAGCGTGTACCTGTGGAAATAAGAATGGTCGTTTCGCCGCAGATTGAATTCGATTACAACTTGATTTAATTTAGTACGTTGAGAGTATGCCCTTGCTCAGCAACTGGGACGTGGAAGTAGAAATTTGAGCAGGATGTGTTTATATAAAGGCATGACAGTGAAGATAAAAATGTCTTTGTCTGTCATGCATCTCGTCTTGCATGTTTCAATAGCGCATTTCCACCTTTTTCTGTTTTGATGATTCTTGTCCAAACGAAATTTGAATCCTGAAATCGCAAAACATTGGTGCCCCATTTTCATAACGTCGGTACATGTAGTTAGTTCTTTCTCCATGTCGACCGAGAGTGATTCTACCTGCCAAAGCTAAGAGAATTTATAGTTGTTTCAACACAACAACACACTACTCACTTAGTAAAATTCTTGTTCAGACTGGGCGGCCATTCTTCATGTGAAAAGAGTAGGAATGAGCAAGAACGAGACCGGTACTTACCATAAAGTGAGAAGTGGAGACATTGAGTCGTTATTAAACAGTTCACCCCTCCTGACTTCTCATTGACACGGTAGGCGCGTTAACATTTTTTTTCCAGATGTGTTCACAAAGTAATCAATCTTCCATCTTCTGTGAAATAACTTCTTTTCAAATACGAATTACGGCGAAACGATTTTCAGACTTCGACAGGCAGTCCCCTGTTGCGTCATTTGTGGCGAAAGTTAACCTGCCCCCCAAAACAACAACAAAATAATAAATTACCTGAAAAAAAGGTTTGCATACTCAAACAACTCATACGGAAACACACAGGTGCACACATACTCAAACCCACAAGCACCCACACAAACACCCTTGCTCACACACATACACACACACACAGGCACACACACACACACACACACACACACACACACACTGTTGTAGAGACAGAGACAGAGAATGTGAGTGCGTGTGTTCATGATCTTGTTGTTTCAAGTCAGAAGCACAAGAGAAGGAACAAATGGATATAGAGAGAGATAGAGCACAGATGGCACGAGGTAAAGATAAAATCCCGCGTGCTCATAATACATGTATGACCTTATGCAGTTGCGTACGCCGTAAAAACACTAACCAAAAAAAATAAAGAAGAAAAAAAAAGATCAGATCGCTCAGAACAGCGAGGCCGGCACCCTTCTTAAGGCTGTCTGCACCCAATACCATGGTGTGTGTGTGTGTGTGTGTGTGTGTGTGTGTGTGTGTGTGTGTG